AAAAAAATATAAGTTAATTTTTATTTTACACAAAATATAGAGATAATATTTTAAAATTTCAAAACGAACTCTATTCTTTATTATTTTTTGTAAAGTGATAACATACGAAAATAATGAAGTATCGCATTGATCTAATTTTTTTCCAAATGCACGGGAGTTTACTATCATATTTTATCTGTTTCTTTTTCGTTGCGAAACTGGTAGCGTATTTTTAATATTTTTATTTCTAGATTTTGTTTGTAAAGTATTTTTTTAGTGACGGGAACAAGGGAGTTCTCACAATAATCTTCCGTGAGTAAAATTCGTCATAGGACATTTGCGGTTCATGTGTTCAAATAATTATTCGTCCTAGACCGTTAGCATCTGATTATTCTTGTAGGTGTAAGAGACTTATTTCATGATGCCTCACATATTGTACCGTAATGTGGTGCTGCGAGGCATAACATCATCCTCATCTGAACCAGTCCTTTACAGTTGAAAACTTTAAAATAAAAATGAAAGTAAATCGTCATAGACTTTGCTAAAGGAAGATCAATTCTTAAAATAAACATGTCTAATTATTGATTATTAACCACCTACCTGTATTGTGATATACCGACAACTTTTTTTCAATATTTGTCTAGATCCATACATAGAAAATACCACATTGATTTATAAGAATTCGTATTAAAGCTGATTAGGTTATTAAGTAACAAATTTTGGATTAAATTCATTTAGAAAAAAAAAAATGCAAATCATTAAAAAAAAAAAAAAAACAACTATTCGAATTGTCACTTACTGCGCACATAATCATGTGATGAGGAAGGTAATTCGAGTTAGAATTCGGTTAGGCCCAATTTGAAAATATTTCTAAACCTGGTCAATTGTTAATGTAGATTATGTAATCACTTTTCTCGGTTTTGTAATACGAGATGTGAAAAAAATTTTAGATCTAGATTTTCGATTATTTTCGATTGGAAAAAAAAAAATTTTTTTTTTAGATCATAATAGAGGTTTTCAATATGATTATGAATCCAGTTATAAATATCAAGGAATAAAAAAAAAATTTTTTTTATTCTTTTAATCCTTACCTTTTTATCCTGAAGTTAATATAATAAAAAGGATTCCCCCTTTTTTTTTTCCGATAGTAAAATAACGAGAGGGTTGTCATATCATGCTTAATTTATCTAAAAAGTGTACTCGTTCTTCTTCAAAAGTATGGCGTACAACAGTAAGTATTAATTATACAGATAATCTCTACATTTGATAATTAAAAGGATTGATTCAATTGATTTCAAGAAATAAAAATGTAAAAAACAAAAGTATCATTCATCGAAACCTTTTAATTGCTTACCAATTTTCAGAGGCCGTCACAATGCTTACGTCCTTCAATAAGCTCTCGTGTGCTCGCTTCACACCCCGTACTCAGCTCAGTATTAAATAGAGCATATAGTTCACAAAAAGGTGGCCCCGTTATCGGTATAGATTTGGGCACAACAAATAGTTGTGTTTCCGTGATGGAAGGGAAAGTTCCAAAAGTCATCGAAAATGCTGAAGGTGCTCGTACCACACCATCCGTGGTTGGATTTTCCAAAGATGATGAATTATTAGTTGGCCAAGTCGCTAAGCGTCAGGTAATGTGTCCTGTTGCCCCACGCAGTCCTTTGTCGAGAGATCACACGGATTGATTTCTTTGTTTGTCTCATCCTTCTCGTCTCGTAGGCAGTGGTAAATCACGAGAATACGGTATTTGCTACAAAACGATTGATCGGTCGTGTATTCGATGACCCAGCGGTACAGTCCGAAGCGAAAGCGGTACCCTATAAAATTATAAAACACGATAATGGGGACGCATGGGTAGAAGCACATGGCAAGAAATACTCACCATCCCAAATTGGTGCTTTCGTGCTTAATAAAATGAAAGAGACAGCTGAAGGATATTTGGGTAAAAAAGTAAAACACGCCGTTATCACGGTGCCCGCCTACTTCAATGATGCACAACGTCAAGCAACAAAAGACGCGGGAAAGATTAGCGGTTTGGAAGTTTTACGTGTAATTAATGAACCAACCGCCGCGGCATTGGCTTATGGATTGGATAAGTCCGGTGATAAGACGGTAGCCGTTTATGATTTAGGTGGTGGCACTTTTGATATTTCTATATTAGAAATACAAAATGGTGTATTTGAAGTCAAAAGCACAAATGGTAACACTTCACTTGGTGGTGAAGATTTTGATTCAAGTTTGGTGAAATATATTGTTCAAGATTTCAAAAAATCGCAAGGGATTGATTTAACTACTGATAAGATGGCAATACAACGTATTCGTGAAGCAGCTGAAAAGGCCAAGATTGAACTTTCTTCTACTGTAAATACTGATATCAACCTTCCTTATATCACGGCTGATAGTACGGGACCAAAACATATTAATATGAAATTAACTAGATCAAAATTTGAATCCTTGACAAAAGATTTGGTGGATCGTACAATTACACCTTGTGAGAAAGCCATCAAAGATGCTAATGTTAATACCAAAGATATTAATGAAGTGATCTTGGTCGGAGGAATGAGTCGTATGCCAAAAGTCGTAGACACTGTTAAAAGTATATTTGGTAGAGAACCAACTAAAAGTGTTAATCCGGATGAAGCTGTTGCCATGGGTGCCGCTATTCAAGGTGGCGTTTTATCCGGAAGTGTAACTGATATCTTATTGTTGGATGTCACACCGCTTTCACTGGGAATCGAGACTCTTGGTGGTGTTTTCGCGAGATTGATTAATAGGAACACGACCATTCCAACAAAGAAATCACAGGTTTTCTCCACCGCTGCTGATGGTCAATCCAATGGTATGTAAAAATGAAAATTTTTTTCAATCCTTTATTTTTTTTTTTTTCTTTTGCAAGACTTATTCTCATCGTCATCATCCTTGATTTTATAGTGGCAGTATCTGTATACCAAGGTGAAAGGGACTTCGTCAAAGATAACAAATTATTGGGTAATTTTATGCTAGACGGTATTCCACCAGCACCAAAGGGAATTCCTCAAATCGAAGTTACGTTCGATATTGACGCTGATGGTATTGTTAATGTATCGGCAAAGGATAAGGGAACCAATCGAGATCAATCCATAACCATTACAGCATCATCGGGTCTCTCTTCTAAAGAGATAGAAAAAATGATTCATGATGCAGAAAAATTTGCAGAATCCGATGCGAAACGAAAAAGTGTAATCGAGGCAACTAATTCTGCCGAGTCTATAATAAATGAGACAGAAAAGAATTTGGAAGAATATAAAGATCAAATTGATCAAGAGGATGGTAAAAACATTAAAGAACAAATCAAAAACTTACAAGAGGTTATTAAGAAAGGTGATGAAGCTGACCCAGAAAAAATCAAGGAGGAAATTCATAATTTACAAAAATCTAGTCTTAAGTTGTTTGAAGTTGTTTATAAGAAAGCTCAAGAAAAAAATGCAAGTTCCTCACAGCAAAGTGATGACACCTCAAGCACTTCATCCCCAGGAGCTTCCACATCAACATAAATGATGTGAGATCTTATGATTGAAAAATATGAGATATCTAGGAGAAAAAGAAAACGTCATTATGTTAAATTCATTTATCAACCATTTTTCATTGTAATAAATCCCCACTCTCACATAAAGCACCTTTTTAATAAAAAATAAAAAAATTTATTCAATCTTTTTAATTCATATATATAAAATTTTCATGTAAAATCAAACTAATAATGTTTTACTTAACCTCTTTCGTGGTTAATTCTACAATTGCTTACCGGAAAAAGCAAAGTTATATTCGTTAAAACACGTGACAACTCCCTGAATTCTTGCTCTTCACATGATACTCCTATCCTTGTCAAACGTATTGGCGTAAATTAAATAGGTAATGAATGCGATTTCTTTCATTTTGAATCAGTTCCTCTCTACAATCACGCACTTTGAGGTATGTGATTATAGAGTGGTGGTGACTATACAGAGGGACTCTGCAGGGTTGAAATTTTTTTTTATTTTGTACTCGATTTAAGATATTGGGTTCATCTTGAAAATTAGCTGATTGGTTGATAAGATGAACATGTTGGCACACATCTGTGTTCCATTATAATTGGGCTGCACAAAAGGCATTATGTCTAATTCTTTAAATTAATTACGTAATAGAAATTCGTCGGTTATTCCGTTATAAATGTTATTTTAAATAAATTTTTTGGCCTTGTAAATCTCATTATATATACATATATATATTAAATTATTTGTTTTTGTTTTTTTTAAAGTTAATGAAGTTAAGAAGTTGGTTGAACATCTCGGATGCTCCGATGAGAATCTAATAAAATCAGGAGACGTAAAAATTGGCTTGTTACCTGACCTTTTCTTTTTTTGTTTGTTCAAAGCCTGCAAAGCTAAATCCAAGCCGAAGAGTGTGAATTTATGAAAAAATTTTATACGTAATGACGCGATATTTCGAATCCTTTCTTATCAACATTGCACCATAAAGTTTTCTTTTTTATTAATTCGAATTCTTGTGCTGAAATAAATTTAACCTAAAACCCACGACTGACCAATCATATTTGATCGGATGAATTCTTGGACCAAAAAAAATTTTTTTTATGAGGGGATAATTGCGTAACCTTTGATCGAAACATACAGCATCCATTTTTGGTTATTACAAAAAAAAGATTATTTAAGATTTTTTTTTCGTTGAAATTTTTTTTTTTTTTTTTTTTTTTTTTTTTTTTTTCTTGGCTTGCTATACAAGAAAATAAACGAGTTTTTTTTTTTCCTTATACTTTTGATAAGTATTTACAAAATACTTCACCCTTTTGCTGAGCGATCTCTTCGAAGAAAAAAAAAATTTAAAAAAAATTTGTGCTTCTCGCAAAATAATTTATTTCTTAAACTTTTTTTTTTTTTTTTTTTTTTAAAAAAAAAAAAGAGGAAATAAAGCTGGACCCTCAAAAAATAAAAGTGAATAACTTAAAACTCTTACTTTTGCCTTTACCCTCTGTTGTTGATCTGGTGATGCCACCTTTACAACAACAGACTCAAAAGGAGAAGCGCCAAGGTCGTCGAACAAATCCATATCGACGACCGCCGAGGCTGACTATGGTCGGATCGGCTACCAATGCTACTTTCGAGTTAATGGGTTCACAATACGAATGGGCTCAAGCTCAACAAATTCATTCAAATACCGTAAGTGTAATAGTATATTTTTAATATATTTACAGTATCTCTGTTTTAAAAGAAAAAAAAGGGCGTTTTTTTTTTTTTTTTGTTCAAATACTTAATAACATTACTTATTTCTCTTTCTTAAACCTGAAAAAAGGTTGAAAATGAGTGGCAAAATGCTACTTCGAGCGAAAATGGGGACAACACAAATGATTATGACGATAATGGGCAACCATCTTTTAAGCAAGTGAACGAAACCAGCGAGTTGGCGATAATGGTTGTTAATTCGGATCAGAATAGAAAGAAAGCGGACAGAAAACCTAAACGTGGAGCTGGCATTATTATGGAACAAGAAGGAAACGAAAATAAACGTCGCAAGATTACTCACGATAACGATTATAATAATACAAATCTCATGATAAACGGCAACGAGACAACCGAAGTTGCACCTATGAATAGTATTGATATGGAGACTATTGGCATTGAGTCCTTCAATGCGAACAATGTGAATACGACGACAACTACGTTGACAACAATGACACCTACAACGGAATCAAATCCGACAGTTACTAATACTAAAGTAGCTCGTAATAAAGCCCGAGGTTCGAATTCTCGCTCACGCGGCAATAAGTCAAGAACGCGAAAAGTTTCTTCAAATACGACACGACAAAATCCGACGTCTACTCGAAAATCTCGTGGTAAACGTGGTCGCCCAAACGTTGCGATATCAGGAGCAAGTCGAAGCGACAACATTCGTAGTAGTGATCAAGGTGAACAACATGAATTGACATCAAGTGTATCTCAACTTTCTGTTGCTCCGGTTCCTGATGTGGCCGAACCCGAGCCGAGATCAACGATAGTATTGCGAAGATTTCTTGAGTCACTTTGTGCAAGCGAGCAGGTGTTGAACCGCGAACGATTGCTCCGTCTAGGGACCTACTTGCTTGATTATTTTGTTTCTCAGGCGTGGTGTCGTCCTTTTGTTAATCCTGAAGACGAATCGGCATTCTTCTATCGCTCGGTCATTTCACGCTTGATGGATTTGACAACGGTCGAACATAATCTCTGGTCAGGAGAATATGATGGTGCAATTTCGAAATTCTACGATGATATAGCCCAGATTATGTATAATGCCTTCAAATTCCATCCTGAGGGAACCATAATATTCAACGAAGCGAATTCGATGTTGGCTTGTTTTGTTGAAATAACAACGAAATTTTCTAAACCTCCACATGACTTGAATAAATTCGACGATGAACTTGCTATGGTTGGTTCTAAACTACCTCACGAAGAATTCAGCGACGTTTGTGGTGTGGCACCGAACCTTGAAAGGTAAATGTTCTCAATAATCTGTTACTAGATTTCGTGCTTTACAGTCGTTATAATTCCTCCTTTCCTTTTCTTTTTTTTTTTTAAAAAAATTTTATTTAATAATTCTTATTTGAATGAATAATGTCATAAATATTTTCTTTAAAATAGTCGAATATTTATAGTACCTTTATATTCGTTCCGCCAAATCTCTAAAAGCGGAAGCAATGTTGCAAAGCTCCCTCAGGCTGCTGCTGAACGTTTAGATCCTATGTCGCGTCCTCTTTTTGACGTATTTGAACGTAGAAACATCCCACCAGTAAGATTTCAACCTACGGAAGCGAATTGTAATTTCGGACGTCTATATATCACGATGGGCGCACAGAATATTAAAAATTGTAGAGATGAACGCAATGCAATTCTCGTAATCGTAAAGGATGTGGCTTATACACGCGGAACGAATCGATTGCGGTGCAGTGTGATCATTGCGAAACCGTTTGGTGAGCTACGCGAGCTCGATACGATTGGGTTTCCGGAATTACAAGATGCTCGATATTGGACTCGAGTTGCTTTTCTCAGCAGAGTAAACCTTGATATCGCAGTGGGCTCAAAATTTTTTGATAAATACTTGCGAACTCCTTTTAAAGTATCAGAATACGATAAAGAAATTATTACACCGCAGCAGCACGAAGGGTTTTTGGCAGCTTTGAATTTGCGACAAGGTCACTCGTCACCCGAGGGGCTTTCGATCTGGCAGCGACTAGTTATTGGCGAGTACAAGTTTCTTTTTCTTGTTATCTTATTTCTTTGATTATAAAGAAGAATGGGAAACTCGTTTTTCTTTTTATATTAATTCTCTTAATTTTTCATTCGTTTTGCATTTATAGAGGCGAACAGGGTAAACGTACCAATCGAGAGCTTCGAATCTCTCGGAAAATCAATTCAAGTCGACGCAGAAGGATTCTTCAAACGAGTTTTTCACGTTCCTGGTGACGAACAATATGTCGTGCAAAACTTCAAAGAAATTTCAAATGATACTCTTGAGACCAGGATTAGGGAAGCAGTTTGCTGTTTGTAAGTTTATAAAGTTGTTTACTTTAATATTATGATATATATAATTAAGCGTGATTATATCTTACTCTTTCTAAAAAAAAAAAAAAAAAAAAGAAAAACGAAAGGAGTCCCTCATACCGGTCAAATCCGATCGATTTACAAAGATGACATAGAAGACGAGCTTGTCGGCCTTTCCATGGTAAGGTATGGCTATACGTTGAAGGAGTACGCCTTCAATACTCGTGCTCCACTCACAGGTGAGCAAAAATTCAAGCTCATTCATGATATGATAAAAGGCATCAAAGCGCTTCACGACGCTGGATTTGCACATCGGGATCTCTCCGAGGTTAATATGATGGTAAATTGTACTACCGAACTTTTGTCGGATGGTAACGCCAAACCTGAACTCGTAATAATCGATTTCGGGAAAGCCGAGTTTATCAACCGTGATGATGTGTTGGCGTAAGTGTATTATTTTTTTCTTAACCTTTTTTTTTTTTTTTGGCCTAATATTTATTATAAAGCCATAAATGCTTATTGAAAAATCAATAATATAGTTGGTCCGTTGGCGAGGTAACAAACGATAAGTTGGAACATCTTCCACGGATTAAGACGGTGCCAGATCATGGCTATAAATTGTACAGGTAAGTCAATGATATTTAATAATTTTTTGTATCTTTATATTAACTTGTGATGGTATTCATTATGATAAATGTAATTAATGAATTATTATTATTTAAATAGGTCCGCGGCAACACTCCCTCGTACTAAAAATGATCATGCAATTCTCCCGTACCCAATCGATCCTTGCTCTGAAGATGTATATGCAGCTGGAATTTTAGCGTGGCGAATCTTTTCAGGCCAAGCACCTTGGGGAGGAATCCTTGATACCGATCTTAAAAATCTCAGAGAAATCGTATCGGATCCCGTCAAAATTAAATTCCATACAGAAAAGAATGTTAAAGGGATGAGATCGCGAGAGTTATTGTTAAAGTGTATAACCGCGTCTCCGCAGGATCGTTGTACCGCAAAAGAATTGCTAGATTGGCTTCTACAAACCAAAGATGAATTGATTTCCGAATGGGCGATCTCTGGAAGAAAGAGAATAAGAAAGCAATTCTAGATCAAATCGGGCGCAGCTGACAAATAAATAAATAAATAAATATCATTCATGTGGAAGAAATTTTTTTTTTTTTTTTATTTACCACCATTTATTGTTTGAAACCTTCAAAAAAGGGGGGGATAAGTTAGCTGCTTATTATTTCATTTGAAAGATAGCCGTAATATTTATCCACCTTACTTTTTAATCATTATGACAATATGTCCCCCAATCTTCTATTATTTTCAACTTTATCCGTCACTATGAATCAATAAGATAGCGTTTAAAATTGAAAGGGAATATTAATTTGGAGAATTCTGGAATAATAGAGACATGGAGAAACTTTTTATTTAATGGAATTTCGTTAGGGGATTTTTTTTTGTAATGTTGAAAATATACTCGAGTTCTGTAAACACTAGGAGCTTAGTAAGTACACAAATTATCCTACCTTGAATTTATCCAGAGGGATGAAATGTTATTCATTGCAAAGTTTTTGATGTTGTCTAATATTTATATTCTTGAACGTTTTTCCTTTTTAATAGCTATCAAATCATTAGGATTGGTTTTGCAATAAATGCAAGATATCATCATCTAGTTGAAATGATTTATCGCTAGTTTTAAAGTGGAACAATTTATAAAGTTTCATTCAGTATCTGATTATTCCGCTACAAGTGCCTAGACTAATCCTTCAACAGAGTAAGTGGTATAAAAGCTTTTTAGCTTGGATTAATATATTTATATATATATATATTTTTTTATAAATTCTAATTGTCTTGAAAAACATTTTTTTTTCTAGATATTAGTCATAATTCATTTAGAAGGAATTAATATTCAATGTATATTTGTGAAAGAATTATTTGTACATCAAGGATGATGTATATTTAACAATTGAAGGAAGGGATTTTAAACAATATTTTTTTGTATATATTTTTTTAAAAAAAAAAAAATTGTGCGGACGGTAATCAAGGAATTATATTATAAACGAAAAGCACATGTATTATTAATATTATGAAGAAACACAATTTTTAGATTGATCTTTTATATTTTAGACAAAAGAGTTTGTAACCATTTGTATTTGGTTTAAATCATGTTATTAAAGAAGTTTTATTGTAATAATGTAATTAATAAAAAAAAAGAAGATAAACATATTTCTCTTTTTATAAATCAAAAGCAAATACAAAAAAGTAATACAATATAAATACACACAATTAAGCAAATATTATTCAAATAAAAATAAAAACCCTTAATAATAGTTCTTTTTTATATGTCCTCAATTTTAATCGTCTTGACCTTTTAAAATAAGTTTAAATGAAAAAGGCATAAATTTTCTGCCTGAACCTTCATAAAATTTATTATTGAATTCAACCCTGTCATAAAGGAAATAAATGATTATTTAAAATAGAGGGGGGAAAAAAAAATTTTTTAAAAAAAAAATATATATACCAATGCAAACGTAATGCGTGTAAGAAAGCGGATAATCCTTCCATAAGCAATAAGATACCAACAGTCAAAACAAACCATAAGACTGCTGTTATCACGAGTAAGATAAACCCAACTACTCCTTTAAAATTTATAGTATTCTTCAGAGTCATATCGTATAAGACAGCAGACAATTCTAAATTATAGCAATAATAAGAAAATGATTTTTTTTGAAATAATAATAATAATAATAATAATAAACTTACGAGCATGTGCTAAACTCAGAGCCCATAATCGTAAATAACTTGCTGTATTAGAAATACAACCCAAACAGAATTCGATCGTATGAATAACCTGATGAATCATAACCTCTCCGAAATCAAACTCTTCTTCCTCATGCATTTCCTCTGCTACTATTGCTCCGCCGTGCTCATTATTCTCATCTGTAGATATACGTGTAACGTCAGCTTGCGGATTATGATATCCCTGTGCCCGTATTTTCTTATACTCACGACGCAAAACGAAAGGCTTCACAAACAACATCCAAGGTATGCAGACCGCAGCTATTAAGAGTAATGCGAGCTGTACAGTCCCCTATTATGATATTAATAATAAATTCAATTTCTTAATAAATATAAAAAAAAAGTCGATTAATGGTATTTTAAAACAAAAAAAAAAAAAATTTTCAAAAAGCAACCTGTCCAGGATATAACTCAACATCTTTTTCAACGGAACCAGGTTGTAAAAACATATAAATTAACATATTTAATAATCCAGGTGGACTGTTCCTTGGATTTCCGTTAGCATCAGGTTCGTACCAAGGTATGGACCACTTATAAATGATCGTAAAACACAGGTATCCAAAGATACATTGCATAAATAATATCTGAGGAATGAATTCGGCCCAGATACTCAAAGTTTTTTTGAAATGAATGTAATTAAATATTGAAAGGAATATACCGAAACTCATCTAAAATCAAAAAACAAAATTATTGTAATAATCATAACGTTAAATTTACAAATTTTAATAATGATTATCATACCTGAATAACACCAAGAATTATTGACATTTTCATTTTATAAGAATTGGTGAACAGTAAAAAGTTTTCGGTACCATGCCATGCCTATAATTAAAACATATAAGTTTAAAATACTAAGAAAGTACAAAATTTCACTATATACAAAGATAGCTAACCGGATCGACACCAATTGGGTAAACACCAGTTTGCTTGCCAATTTCTTTTCCACTATCGGGGTCTAATGTAAACTCCCAACCAGATTTTGTCAAGTGCATAGTTCGAGAAAAGACATCGTTATAGATCAACCCAGTGTAAATTGAAAATAAACCCATCAAAAGAATAATGTATCGACCACCAAAAAACATTTCAAAGATCTAAAAGTAAAAATAAAAAGATAAGGAGAATTAATAATTACAACCGAATAATGAAATAAAAGATTACTATAAATTTCGAGTTTAAGGTTATCAAACCCTCTCTATATAAGGAAATGACAGTAGAATATAAAAGAAATTCATACTTCTCCCTTTCCAGAATTAGCAAGCTTTTTCTCGAAGATTACAAAATATAAAGCCGCTAACGTAACTAAGATACCATGACCAAAATCACCAAACATCACAGCAAAGAGGAACGGGAAAGTAATAATGGTAAATAATCCAGGATTAACTTCACGATATCTAGCCACACCGTACGCATCAACAATTTCTTGGAAGCCAACCGTAAACTTATTGACACGATGGAAAGTGGGTGGTTCTTTTGTAGTACGTAATTCATTCAGGATGGATGGCACTGTGGAACCTGAAGCATCCTAAATGAATGAAGGAACGAACAAATTAGATATATGACATTCACGACAAAATAAAAATAAAATAGGATTTTATATAACGTACAGTTGCATTCCTAAGTGCTTGATGGACTTGATTAATATCATTTTTAGGACACCAACCCTCAGCAATCAAGCATTTACGATTTACATCATAGTTGAAAAGATTCATTGTATGATAAATAGCTTTCTCCTTTTTAATAATAGTACTCCAAGCTGTAAGATCATCAGCCACCTTTACCAATTCAGCTCTCCTAGTATTATTAGTATTTTGTAGCACAGAATTTAAATCTTCGATTCGTGCAGTAACCTCTAATAAACTTTCTCGCCTTTTATCTGAACTATCGTCTACAGGATAAAGTGTTGCACCTAATGACTCTGAAATTTTCCTTATTTTATTCAAAATTTCTTTTCCGTGAGCAAATATAATAAACACATTCTTCTCAAGTGTTTCATCGGTTTCGGGATCAGTAATCGGTTCATCGATCTCTGCGTAATTCAGATATAAGTTACCACGTAAAGCTCGCCAAAGGATTCGCTCGAAGGTTTGCATTTTTGCTCTGGAGATTACACCGGTAACGAATCTAATTTATCACAATCGTCAAAGATTTTTTAAAATACTTTTTTCGATTAAAAAAAAAAGCTTAATATTTTATTAATAATTTATGTCATACCCGAGGTTCTGTTGAAATCCTACATTTTCTTGATTGGTAGTAGGAGCAGCGCCTTGTTCAACGTCTTGATCAAGTAAAGGGACGCTAGGTTCATCAAAAGATTGACGAATATTATCTTGACGAGATACTGCCTAAAAAGGGAAATTATAATCCCTAATAAATTGAAGAATCGTTTTATAAAATTTCAATCAAGATACCTTAAGGACCTAACCTCTTCGAAGAAGACAGCAGTCTCTTTGAGCACATGTCTAGCCTCCGTTAATTCTAAATATCTTTTTTGTAAAGTTTCATGAGCTGTTCATTTGTGTAATACGACGTTCGTGTTCACTTATTTTTTCCTCGAGATCATCGACCTCTTGAGCATTTCTCACACGTGCACTAGATACATCGCCGGTTAAAGGACGAATTGGAATATCGGACTTTTCAACCTGAGCATTAAAGAAACCTATAAAACCATTTTTTTTTTTTTATATAAACGATTGAATATTAAACTTCAGTTATAGATTTAATTTCAACTGTAGTGCAACTTTACAAAAGCTTACGAAGGTGTCTTTCCATTTCATCAAATCGTCTAATTTCATTAACAAATGCGCGTTGAAATGCATTTACATCGGGATTTAACTAATAACAATTCAAATCCAATAAATTAATAATGAATATTTTATTTAAAATATTTACAATAAATAATAAAAACGTACATCTCTGAATTGAATCAATCCCAGCTCTCCCAATTCCGCCACAGTTGGCTGGGCTGTTTCTGACGGTATGTAAAGTTGGATGAGGGACATCTCCTCCGAACGGAAGAGAGTTGAATAAGGCATGATCAAATTTCTTCCGATTCACACCGCAAATTAATGTCGTTGCTTCTTTGACCCTTCTTTAATATAAATAGATTGAAGAATGAAAGAAAAAGTTGAAAGAACACTTATTATCATGGATTAAACTATCTCTCTTTGATGATTATCAATATTTTAGCCAAATCTTGGATTGTAATCGAAAACTAAAATTACCATTAATTATTCCGCGACGAGATATTAAACGTCCAGTAGGATCTGATGTATATACGGCTAATACCGCTGATTAACAACAAAACGTTTTGTTACATTTGTTACACAGAAGATAATATGTTATGTCCTACATTAAATTCATATAGATAATCTGATACTTTGCATGGCGATTTTTTAGATATGATCTTAAAATCTTTAAAATTTATCAATCAATTCTTTCAAAAGAAAGCTTTATTTAAAAAAGTAAATATAAAAAACCATTATTTATTAAATTTTAAATAAACTAAAAAAGAACAAGTGAGAATAATCAAATTAATTTCAATATTCTAAAATCTTTTCTATAAAATCAATCAATAAAATATTTAAATTAAAATATTTTAATAAAACTTAATTAGCCTTGATAATAAATAATCAAAATCTTCAATTGAAAGATAATCCAAGTAAATCATCAATAGCATTCCCTGTTATAAATAAAAATGTGAGAATAGAATTAACATATGCTAAAATATATGTTACACGTTACCTTTTCCAGAAGATTCCTTATTATTAGAATCACTTAGGCCAAGCAAATCATCAGTAATTTGAATTTGACCTCGTGGTTGATCAGGTTCTTCCAAATCGATTAGCCAAGATTCTGAAGAAGATGCCATCCTACTTAAATTAAAGAAATCAGATAATATAAGACGTAAGTATCGGTATTTTAAACCAAATAAATTATAACTAGTAAATAAGTAATTACGTAGTTGGTGGTGTTTGCGGTGTTTGTGGTGGTAATTTATCCTCAAGCTGTTCGAATATTCCATTCTTTACATTCTCATATCTTTTCAATACCGAATTAATCAAATCATTTAGTGTTAACAATCGATCTATAGTCAATTAATTGATGTTAATAAATGTCATCTTATTTCGTCATAAGTAAATAAGTATAATTACCGATGCTTTCTGTGTCATCATCTTCAGAAACAAATTTCTGAATTTTAGGCTGTACAGCTTTACAAGCCTGAGATAACTCCTATATATTCATATATTAGTATTCTGAAAGAAAAACTATTCTAATTCAAATTAATATTTGGTTACCTCAAATATATCGTTAGCACCTATCTTTTCACCAGATTTAACATTATCAAGCATATCATTCAAAAGTATCGTTTTTTGTTGAATTTTATCTAATTCTTCATTGGCTTGCTTCTTATAATCAGGTTTAGCTTCAGGATCCTGGAAAAGATCCAATTAGTGTTTGTATAGTCATGAGCTGTAAAGAATAACAAATACTTATTTATACTTACGTATCCAGCCATGATTTTCATAAGAACATTCGCTTCCTCTAAATCTGATGGAAGACCTCTACGAATTAATTCTTGTAATTTCTAAAGTACACAAGAAAAAACAATAATATATAAATATTTCAAATTCAAATTAAAACCCGTATACTACATTTGTTATAACAATTATAAATAAAGCAATCAAAAAGTAACAAAATACTTCAACTTTACCGCTGCTTGCGCAGCACGATCCTCTTGCTCAAGTTCGTCTGGAGACTTTAATGTCTGATTACAAATTATAATTATAAATTAACATATGCCTACGTTGTATTTTAATTTCTAAAGATGATGAAATAAATCGAACCTCTGATGGATTGAGGACTGCCGCGGATCGATTATCTATTTCGGGGAATAAATAACCTATACTCATAATATTTAAAAAAATAAAATAAAATGATGAATACGCATTCTCATATGCATTTCAATTCATTTAAAAAATAATAAGGACCTTTATAAAGCAGCAAACGATACATGTCATTGATATGAACAAGATCCTCTTTATGACGCGAAGTAACACATATGGTTGATTTCCATGCTTGTATGAATTCTAAAATCCTCAACTGTATTGGATTCGGTACGATCTGTACAATTAATAATAACTTTATTAACGCGGATTTAATTTAAAAAATTAAAAATGAAATCCTAATTAACTTACAGGTGGCCTTTCTGGAAATTTTCGAACAAGGTCATTAAGAAATTCTTTTGTCGCGATTTGTAAATGAAAGGGATAACCACAATTTTTTACGCAGATATCCAATAACTAAATTATTAACGCGTTAATATTACTGCACAAATTGCAATAATTGATTTTTACATGTTCACATTAATTATTCATACCTTCAAGGCAAGCATTGAAACATGTGGATTTCGATGATTTATAAGCTTCACTATATGCATAGCAGCATCGCGTGGACTAATAATAATAAAAAATAAATTAAAGATTTTTTATTTAATAGTAGAATTAATTCAACAACATACTAATTTTGCTTTTTTTGGTTGATCAAATCCACGATTTCTAAATCCAATGCTAGATCTGGTTCAACCAATTGAGGATGACATGCTCTTTCTATCAATTATTTTTTTTGGGGAATATATTAATCAGTTTAATTATTCTATTTATTTTATTAAAACATTATTAAATAAAAAGTACCTATAATAGTTTGAATGGTGGGTTTAGGAACTACGGAAGGAAACTACAAAGTAAGGTTTAAAAAAAGGAACCAGATTTAAATTACCAATAAATCTCGTCATTTTTAAACACGCGAATAGGACTTACTTGAAGAGATCCTAAACTCATTCTGAATAATAAATCGTTAAAATTGTGATGGGAATCTCCGAGAGTTGCTTTAACATCTTTTTACTTCACGTGACTCAGTAATGTATGTTGTGTAATATAAATCTTTTTTGATCTACTAATTAACATATATCTATAATTATAATTTAAACCTAAATATATAATATACTTTTTAATATTTTTATGTTTTAATTGTTAAAAAAATCTATAACTATATAAAATAATTTAAATCT